ATTAATCATATTTTATCATCCAACAACAATGAAAATACTAATTATAAAAAAAAATTTATATAAGACGGACAGTCAAACGTTGGCATGGAAATTTAAGTTTGCCTTTTTTTTTAAGGACAGAGGGAGTTCTCTATATTCGTCCCATAAAAAATAAAATACGAAATATGTCGCATCTTGTTTATTGTGGTAGTACTAGTCATTTCGGGTCTGCATATATTTAGGTCACTTCCACCTGTTTTTTTTTTTCAAGCAAGACGCTACACTTACCCCGTTACATATGAACTACCAATAGTTTTGCCTACTCCCTCTTTTTTAAAAAGATAATGAGGGCTCATTTGGTTTGGTGCCCTACCAAATCATTGGTAGTGTCAAATTATGGGCAAGATTTGGCATTGCCAATATTTTTAGTAGAGTTGAATTATAGGAGTTATATTGCCTTTGGTAAATTTTGGCATCAATCCAAACATCTACAAGGTACTATTTTAAGTGCCAACTATTTGTTAGAGGAAATTTTTGCAGCAAACCAAAACAGTCCTAAATTCTAGTTATATATTTCGACATAGGGTGCGTTTAGATCCCAAAAATTTTTGGCCAAAAATGTCACATTAAATATTTGGACACACGCATGTAGCATTAAATGTGGACGAAAAAAACAATTTCACAGTTTGCATGTAAATTGCGAGATGAAACTTTTTGAGCCTAATTGTGCCATGATTTGACAATGTGATGCTACAACAAACATTTGCTAATGACGGATTAATTAGGCTTAATAAATTCGTCTCGCAGTTTATAGACGGAATCTGTAATTTATTTTGTTATTAGTTTACGTTCAATACTTCAAATACGCATTCGTATAATAAAAAAAATTGGCAAAGAAGCCATATCTAGAAGGTTTCTTTTCTTAATAACGGAGGTTGTATCCTCACTCAATCGGTCGTTAAGTATCAGCATGAACTGCTCGCTAGTGCGCTGTGTTTTCGACGACATTGCAGGTGCAGGCTGTGCTAAAAGAGGTAACTGAATTAAGGTTGTGCCACTGACATGTGGGTCCTATTTTTGATATGGCCCACATGTCAATGGCAAAACTACAAACCACAGAAAGTCGGGAGTCTCATCCATGAATTAAATATCCAATGATATAAGGAACCAACCACACAGGGAACTAGAATGGCTTGTCTAAGTGGGATTCTTGAGTTGTCAGTTGTCACCTGATGAATATTGATGAGATGATCGGCGATTTGCTACCGCATTCATCAGCTTCTCCATCTTCGGCAAAAAAAAAAATCCTGTATCTAGAGTGCCAGAAAGCATTAGCTGGGTGTCATGTGCTGGATCACAGGAAAGGACTTTAACAGGAAAAAAATGAAATGCGCCCACCGTGGGGCTCGAACCCACGACCACAAGGTTAAGAGCCTTGCGCTCTACCGACTGAGCTAGACGGGCTTTGTTGGTACAGTTCTCAAAACTTCCAAATTTAACATAATAAACCTATCCATTCAGAAAAAAAGATGGGAATGATTTAGTTTCTTTTACTTTCTTCGACACAAGCTAATGTATTTTCCAGCATAACTTGATGCAAAGTTAGATTCTTTTAAAACAAATTGTATTTGAGATTCAACCCTTTCTTCCATTTTCATAAACACAACTATATCAGTACACCTACATCGTTAAAGCCTATATTCAACGTGGTCAAATTATGCATATCTTCTAGTTTTTTTTTCTGTCAATATAGTAATTGTTATGGTTCTTGAGTAAGCTAGGTGCCTCTTATCCAAGCAGTCACCCACTCGCCATTCCCATAGACCATAGTCCCACACCTAGCCACTCACACGCCACATCTCGCGCGTATACTGTCCACCCAACGCCCATACTGCTGAGATAAAGCCACATTCCTCCTAATTGTCTCTGATGGCTGCGTATCCTCGTCCACTTCGACGAATGGTGACCACGTCGAGGGTCTCCTTCTCAACTTCGAGTCTCTTATGGTCGTTGCTTCCTCCACTCTGGTCTCTCCATTGTTATATAGATCGCTGGTTGTAGATGGCAATGTGGCTGGCTGATGTAGCGCTTGGCTTCCTCCTCTTTCTTCCTCCTAGTCCTCTGTTGCTTTTGTGATTTTCTTCATCCCTTGGAACTGTTATTTCTTTTGTCATGACCGCATGCCAAAATAACAACACTCTTTTTTTCTAGAAAAAAATCAATGCACTTTGGTCTTTGTTTTTGTATGATCGGAACTATTTAAGGCAAAAAAAAAACTAAATTTATCAGTCGGATCGTAATGCTCCCCACCATTAATGGTAGGTAATGATATAGCTGCACCATCTTAACTGTATCTGGCCTTAAATAATTCTTACTACTAGTTATTCTTTTTCTTCTTTTCTGAAACCATATCAACCTACTTTAATTAAGCTTTGGATGATCAATCCGTAATCAACATGTCATAGATCACACAATCTTAATTCTTTATAGCCTTTTGATAGGATTGATCAAAGATGCAATTACTTTGGTGCAAACTGTAGCATATACAGTCATGCTATAACAAATACATTATGTTTAAAATCAGGTGATGGAGCTTCCAGAAAATAAATACAGGACATCTGAAAAATGTTTATAAATGGGGATGTCTACATATTTTGGGCTTGTTTAGATTGATGCCATTTCAAACCTTTTTTTTTGCAAAGTTGTGAAATACGTGCATCCATTTAGTTACTTATCAAACTCTAGTAAATAAATAAAAAATCCTGCCAAAACTTGGTAATATTATTAAATTGCCAAATTTTTGGTATTGTAAGGTTTATTTTGGCTACAATCTGAACAGGTCCTTTGTGACAGAAAATCCCACATCATATTATTCGAATTTTGGACCATTGGATATGCTTCAAGATTTGTGCGGAGCTCTTAACCCTAACTTCTGTTGGAATTAATAGATGGGCTAAGGCCTATTCGAAGATTAATTCTTTGGAAAATCACAAAAGCCCACCTCATGGGATGGCATGCATGTGGAGTTTAGTACCACCTTGCTTATTCTAGGAGAGGGGGACATCCTTAAAGGGGAGGATGCCCTCCTAGCCACTTGAAGCATGTGTGGTGGAGAGAAGAGGGGGAACACACGCGCGCGCTCGCTGGCCTGGTCTGGCAGACGTACGCGTCGAATGATTCACAAAATTGGCTCCTCACCCTTCGCAGATGCAATGGAGTCGGATAAGTTACGCGCGACTTATGCCTTCGACGTCCTGCACCGGGAGAAGGCGACAATAAGGTTTTTGGGAAGCGCTTCGCGTAGTGGAGTCCGGATAAGTTACGCGCGACTTATCGCCTTCGACGTCCTGCACCGGAGAAGGCGGCAATAAGGTTTTTGGGAAGCGTTTCGCGCGACTGCTCCTTGTTCGTCCGCGACAGCTCGCCCGTATACATCTGTAATGTCATGATTTATTTATGGAATATATTAAATCATTATATGCCTATATTCTCAACAACTCCTCTCCTCCTCCCCCCGTTCAGATCGCGCTGCCACCACTCCTCCTTCCGTCCCTCGTGCGATCCCCTGCCATCACCGTCCCACTGTGCCGCCGCCCGCCTCGTTGGCTAGTTGGAAATAGTCAACGGTGCTAGTGAGGCTCCCTCAGCGAGCCCCCTGCCCCCGCCCTGCCGTCTTCCCCGTCTCCGATGGCTCCCCATCGCCGAATCTGCAACCATCACCGCTGTCTCCTAACCACACGCTTGCTTTGCCCCCGCCGCCGATGCCGGCCCACCACCCTCCTCCATCACTGTGGCTTCGGCGGCGCCGCCGCTGCCTTGCCGCCCGCTGAAGTCCACCGCCCACCACCCACTGCCATTTCTCTGCCTCCTACGGCCATCTCTCTAAGCCCCGAGGAAAACCCTCTCTTCCCCCTCCCTAACCCCCCTCCTACTCTGACCCCAACTCCAAATCCTAACCCGTATGCTCCCTACCGAAGTTGGGGGGTGTCGCCAGCGCCGGAGAAGAAGGGGAGCCCGCCGGAGTTAGAGGAGAGAAGCCGATGTACGAATCTTGGCATAGATCCAATAGTCTAAAATCTATAAGATTTCATCTCTAAATTTCATTCGAATAACATATAGCAATTCCATTTATAATAACCCGTGGGAAATGTACCGCATTATTTGGCATAGTATTTAAGTGGCATAAATACCACACCAAACCAAAACCACTTGAAAGATGGTGTTATGGCCCAATATAAGTTCTGTCCGTGTGAAAAAGGGGGAGCTTGAGACGAAAATAATATCCATCGCCAACTATGCACGGCTACCAGAGTTTGACAGATCGGAGAAGAGCAGAAAAACAATTTTGTGCTACTACTTGGCTTCACACTGGCATATGCAGTATCTTCTGGAAGAAATTCGGTTGTCATGCACAAAACTTGCGTAGTACTACTAGTACTAGCTGTGGAAGCTTAGGAAACGAGGAAAGAGATCAATGCTGAGTACAGCTTGCAGTTTTCTTTGAAAGATCCGGAATAGAAGGAAGCGTGTCTTCGGTTTGTCTCTCTACATGCTCCGCGTGTCACATACTCACATGGCCTAAACCGATGACGTGGTAATAAACCGGTAGTAATAATACTGGTAGCATTTCTGTCTGTCTGTACACTCCCAACTTGCATCCTATCCTCGTGTTAAAAGTCACAGTCACCATGCGGTACTACAGGAAGCACAGCCTGATGACTCTGATCAATAGCCGTCACTACTCACTACAACCACAATATGGTTGAAAAGTAGGTAATAAGACATAAATACATCTCTATTATCGGGTAATAAACATTGTGGCAAGGGGTAACAACTGCTATCCGGTTTTAGTACTACTACCGGTAGCAAGAAAATAAAAAAATAATAGATGTGCAACATTTTCATGGGGTAAGCAATTATGTTATATAGAAAATGTATAGTTTTTTCAGTGGCCCCACCTTACTACCTCTGGCAGACAAAATATACATAGTGAACTCTCTATGTCACTGCTACCTCCTGTTACATGGGCCTATGCTAATGCCCACTTGAGCCAGATACATTTGGCATGCCCTAACGAATAAAAAGGGTCATTACCGAGCCCATTCCTGGCCTCCTGATGCTGTCAACCTCACTTCCCCATCACGATCATGAGGCAAAGATCGGATCGCATTACGAATCTCTCCCCAAACCCAAATGTCCACCACCACCCACGCGAGGATAGAAAGATAATCCGACTAGTTCCATACTCCCAATCTTGAACATTAGACCTTCCATTCCGTTCATTCCCACATCAATCAATCTATCCCGACTCCCGTGCTGGATTGGCGTGCCGCGCGCCCACCGGCCGCACCACATCAGAGAGACCAGAAAAATCCGAATCCCCGGTCAGCGACGGCCAAAGCCAAAGCCAAACCATAATCCGCGCCGCGCCGCGCCTGAAACGCGCACGAAAAAACTTCTGGGAATCCGAGCGCGACCGATTAGGGGAGGTCACCAGTCCACCACCAGCGCGCGGCCACTAGCGCCGCGCTCGGACCGGCACCCACGCGGCCACGCACGCGCGCGCGCGGGGTCACGCGCCGGACACATGCCGTGCGGCGCCCCTTCCCCCTCCGCTCCGGCTCGCCACCTCCTCCTCTCCGCCGCCGCCGCCGCCGCCGCCTCGGTGTTGTCTCGCTCTCCCGCCGCGTGGCGGCGCGGCGCGCGATCGATCGCGCGGGAGAAACCCTAGCTCTACAGTGGAGGGGGGGGGGGGTATTAACTAACGGCTTTAATATTGGGAGGGGCTCGATGCAGAACCACGCGTACAACCGGCTGGGGAGCTTGGGCGGCGGCGGCGGCGGCGGGAGCGGCGCCGTGCCGTCGCCGCCGTCTTCGCCGCGGCGGGGGGCGGGGAGGAGGTCGTCGGGGAAGGGCGGGTCGGCGAGGGCGGGGGCGGGGGCAGGCGCGGCCGGAGCTGTGCGGGGCGGAGGCGCCGTGCGGAGGGCGGCGAGGGTGGTGCTCGCCGCGCTGCTGCGGCGGCAGGCGGTCTTCCTCTTCGCTCCGCTGCTGTACGTCGCGGCGATGCTGCTCTACATGGGCTCCATCTCTCTCGACAGCGTGCCCCGCATCATCTCGCGCCCGGCGCCTGGTTCGCTGTACCGCAGCCCGCAGCTCTACGCCCGCCTGCGCGCCGACATGGACGCCGACAACGCCACTGACGCGGTGAGTGTCTCCCACCTGCTCATCCGCAGCCTGGGTCTGTTGCACTAGAAATTTATATTTGCGATGAAAATATTTGGTCGTTTTTTGTGATGACCGCTGAGCGAGTTTACTTGGTGCTTGAGATGTCTTAGGTCTGGCGGTGGTACTTGGATTACTGGGTGATTGTGTACTAAGTTTAGCGCATCTGTAGCAACAGTGAACTGTGTCTGTGGCTAGCGGCCAATAAACGATTAGATTATTTAGTTTATTCTGACTGGGTTGGATTTGGGTTAGGTATTCTTACAGTTGTTGGGGAATTGCAATAAAATTATAGAAATGCGTGTGATGTATCAGTTAATGTTTTTGGTGTACTTGCTGCATGTGCGGGGTGGATTAGAGGGCAGACTAGTGGTGTTTCACCGGTTGAAACCTACTTCATATTTGTGGATTTGTGGGTGTCCTATAATATTAGCCAGTTGGGCATTAGCAGACAATGGGGTTGCTTGGTCAGAACTAGAGTGTTGGAATGTGAGAATTTATCAGTTCAACTGCTGCAAGCAATAAGCCAATAAGCCTGTTGGGTTTGTACATTGGGTCAAAAAGCTATCATGTTTGTGTTTATTGTGACTGCCTGCTGGGAGTTTAAGAAATACACCTCATTTGTATCTTTTTGTCCACAATGATTATGAATTGTGGCACATTAAGTAAATGCCTTAGTTGGTTCTTCCTTAATGAATTATTGCACTCGATATGGATGATGACTGCAAAAAAGAATTTCATTTTAGATGATTACAGGTAATTTTTTTTAATTCAAATTAATGAAACTTCTGTGTATCCGATGGCCTTTCAAGTTTTATGGGCCTGTTTCCTGGTGTGATAGCTCGCATTGTCCTTTTGATCAGTGAAAATGACCTTGCTTGGTAGCAAACAATAAGATGTACTGTACAACTGTTGCCACCTGCTTGCTATAGCACTGTGGGGCATTCTTTTGCACTGAATTTATCAAAGATGGAATATGTGCTATTTTCATATATAGATCTTTGTGTGCTCATAACATAATGGAGGATTGATTTATCAATACCATTTTCCTTCTATTGTGTCCATTAGCTTTAATGTAGTTATATGACATAATTTTTAGTGTTGCCTAGTACCATTTCATGTTATATGTTACAGATCCATATTGTTCTGTGGTTTGAGGGTTTATTATTTCCCTCATGCTATCACCCTTTATCTTGTCCTTCTAAGTTCACTTATGCATGTTTTCGATGTATGTTTATAATCTCATATTACTACATTTTTGTAGCTAGCAACTGTATGGAGACATGCTTACAAGGGTGGCATTTGGCGACCTTGCATAAACAATATTACATATGGTATGCCATTCCTACCTTTCCTTTTTTACTAATGAGTTTCAAACAGTTCTTATATTTGTTTATATATTCATTTCAAAGGCCAGAACTGTTCCTATTAATATGATATGACTTGGATGAATTCCAATGCAGCCTAGTTTCTTCCTTTGTCCACGTGTAATATTTGAAGTTCCATTTTGTGAAAGAAAATATCAAAACTTTACAAGTGATTTAGGTGAAACTATACCACTACATATGCATGTTGGTCAGGGTTACATTTATTGGTAGAATCAGGCACATGTGGACATGCCCATAAAGGATTTTTATGAACAATGCTTATTATTTCTTCACAGTTTCCAAATATGACATCTCTGATGGTTAATTGTGTATCTCTGAACAAACAGACATTTAATTCCTTCCATTGGCTTGCTGCTTCCTGGTACATCCTTTTTGCACAAAAATCTAAAGGAAAGATAAATCACATTTACATGCAAATGATTCCACTTGTCATTTGCATATGAGTGATATGTGGTGCACTTTCTACATTGCACTTTTGTTGTGATGTATTTGTAAAGGCCGGGAAATTTGTAATATTATTGGAAGTATGTTTTAAGATAAATCTACCGATATATTTGTGGGACATGGCATAAGGCACCTTTGTGCCAATATAACTACCATGAAGCTATTATTGGTCAAAGTAAAATAATAGTTTGACTGTACATCCTAGGCCTAGGGCACTTTGTTTTTTTTACTGGAAGTCGTTTACTTATGTGCATTTGCCATACTTGTTTATGCTATATGCATACTCCTTTTTCAGTTACTTAGTAAAACAGCAATACCATTTTGCATGATGCGCCTATGTCTTGATGGAATTATCTAATAAAGTTAAATATTTATGTTAGATTTGCCTGAATTAAATGGCTACATATACGTGGAGGCGAATGGTGGTTTGAATCAGCAAAGGGCATCGGTTGTTACCTACCTTCAATGAACCCTTTTTGTTTTTGTATTTTTATCATTTCTGTCCACAAACACATCATGAGTTTCTACAATTTTTTTTGTTCCCGCCCCCCCCCCCTTTTTTTTTTGCAGATATGCAATGCTGTTGCGGTTGCTGGTTTTCTAAATGCAACTCTTGTGATCCCAAACTTCCACTATCACAGCATTTGGAGGGATCCTAGGTCTCTCTCTCTCTCTCTCCCCCTCTCTCTCTGACGAAGTTGAATTTCTTTTGAAACAACCAGAAGTTTGTTTGCATTAACTCTACTTATGCCATTTTTTATGAAATATGTGTATGAGTTAATGAGAAATGATTTTGTTCAAAGGTGTCACATAAAAAAGATACCAAATGGTAGTAGTGAAGTATGAAAATGTTCCTTTTTTTGCATGCTGCAACACTGTACTATGTTAACTGCCATACTGACAAGGTTCTATGTTTGTGTTTGGATGAGAGAGGCTTCTTTGAGGATTTATTACAACATAAAAAAATCAAGTTATTAACATTTCTTTTTCTTGATACAGCAAATTTAGTGATATTTATGATGAGGAACACTTCGTCCAACGATTGAAAAATGATGTCCGAGTAGTTGACAAGGTGCCTGAGTTTATTATGGAGAGGTTTGGTCACAATTTGAGTAATGTGTTTAATTTCAAGATAAAGGCTTGGTCTTCTATCCGATACTACAAAGAAGCTGTTCTTCCTAAGTTGATCGAAGAAAGGTAGGTTAAAGCCAATTTTGTTATTGTAGTTCTGAAGAATGTAAGAATGTTGACTTGTGATATATGATAGAGTAAATTTCACAAACCGACTGTGATATATGATATTTTATTGCTTTTATCTGTACATTATAGGCTTATAAGGATATCACCTTTTGCAAACCGACTGTCCTTTGATGCTCCATCAGCTGTTCAACGGTTGAGATGTCTGGCTAATTTTGAAGCCTTAAAGTTTTCTAAGCCGATCACAACTTTATCTGACATTTTAGTATCTCGAATGAGAGAAAAAAGTGCCGAAAACAATGGGAAATATGTAGCGGTGCATCTCCGTTTTGAAGAGGTTAGTCTTTCTTCTGTTAACAAATCGTTCTGGACTATTCATGATACCTTTGGGTGCTGATTCTGTCCAAAATAATAATGGGGTCCGAATCCCCTGTTTCTCAGACAAGAGAATTGTCAACCAATTGATTTTTCTTTTGCAGGATATGGTTGCATTCTCTTGTTGTGTCTTCGACGGGGGTGAAAAGGAGAAGAAGGAACTGGATGCAGCCAGGGAGAGGGGTTGGAGAGGAAAGTTTACTAGGCCAGGACGTGTAATAAGGCCTGGAGCAATAAGGATGAATGGGAAATGTCCACTTACACCTTTGGAGGTGTATTCTAGTGTCTAAATATTTCCATCAAGTTTACACTGATTTAATTAATAGCCATTGCTTAAGATTGTTGCACCATAGGTTTACATATTTATGTTCTGTGCTTAGGTTGGGTTAATGCTTCGCGGGATGGGTTTCAGCAATAACACCGCGATCTATTTGGCTTCTGGGAGGATATATAAATCAGAGAAGAACATGGCACCTCTCCTTGAAATGTTTCCTCTCTTGCAGACAAAAGAAACATTGGCATCAGATGAAGAACTTGCTCCATTCAAGGTATATACAAATGGTGTCTGCAAAAGTTTCTTTGCTTTTCAAGTATGATCTGACATAATGCAATATCTGCCAGAATTTCTCTTCAAGGATGGCAGCTATCGATTACACAGTATGTGTTCATAGTGAAGTTTTCGTGACTACCCAAGGTGGAAATTTTCCTCATTTCCTTCTTGGTCATAGGAGATACATTTATGGTGGTCATTCGAAGACAATTAAGCCTGATAAAAGAAGATTAGCCATACTCTTCGATAGTCCACGTATCGGGTATGCTATTACTGTGGCTCATGAACTCAGTATTAAATTACCTTCTGGCTCTGGAAATCTTGGACGTTCTTGCATTATTCGTTGTTAAAACTAGCAAATTTTCGTTTTGTTAAAATTTTAGTTGCATTTGTGCAGATGGAAGTCACTGAAACGTCAGTTGGTGAATATGAGAACACACAGCGATGCCAAGGGTATTGAAATGAAAAGAGCAAATGAATCTATATACACCTTTCCATGCCCCGACTGCATGTGCCGCTCAAACAAATCAGAACACTCTAAATCCATCCAGGCTAGATAGCATCTACTAGTCTTGACTTGATTGACTGACCTTGATTCTTTTTGGTACCATAGCATGTGCTCATTCTTTGCTTGCCGTCTGGTGGTGTGATGTCTGTCCGGTCTCCAAGCACCCTACTGCAGCATTGCTCATCTATTACACTCCCCAGGTGGATTTTGCGGATATATTAGATTCATATTAGCTAAGCTAATCCTGGGGCTAACAATACACCGATCTGAGTCTCAATAGATGTGTCTAACCGTTTCTAGGTCTAATACCCTGACAATGTAGTGCCAGTCCGCTTGATGTAATAGTAGTTCCCTTGTACATTTCTCAGCTAGGAAGAAATTTGTCATACAAATTTTGAGAAGAGGAACAATGCTTATTCTGATATAATTTATTGATCCTTTCATCTGAAAGCTAGCTCTTTGTCTAACTATTCTTTTGATTATTGTATCAAGGGAGGGAGGTTTTCCTTCTTCTTTCATTTGTACAATTTGCCAATTTCAGTTTGAGTCAGAAACAGGCAAACAGCTAAAAGTTGGAAATTCTATTCCCAGTTCTGGTTCTTCATGTTGCCATCTGAGAAGCAGGATATTTCTGAAATTGCAGTTGGCAATCTTTCAAAACCAAAGTGTCCAGTATGAGAGATTATCAGTCCGATGAAGAATGTGATGGTAAAGGAAAACCGGTACGTTTTCCACGGCCGTCTTGCTTTCAGCTTATCGAGTACAAGCATTCACCGGCGTCAGTTGCAGGTCGTCAATGGGGGCTCGAGGCGGGTCACATGCCCCATTTGTAGCTTATGTACGCCGCTCGCATCATCCCCGTTAAACGACAATAACTTGTGAAAGGAAGCTGGTGAGTCGAGCATCTCGTGAAATCTCTCTGACGGATTTAGATTCGCCTTTTTGCCCGTTCATTGTTTCAGTTACCCATTTTTGGCCAGGTGCCTTTTGGTACTGAATGAATCAAGGCTTCTCAAACAGGCGTCACAACATACCGTGCTATCGTAGTGGTCCGGAAGACGATACCTCACCTGAGGAAAGTTCGGCCATATCTTGCTGTTCTGGTCAGGTTGAGTGTAATACACACACTACATTTCCACCCAGGGAAAGGTAACCGCTGCCATTTCACTACGCCCTTCACGTGCCCCATTTTCACACAACAGAGTAAACACCGCCCAGGACCAAAACAATGTCGAATCTTAAGACCATTAGTTTCGAAATATTTTTGATCCTGAATTGAGGGTACAGTAATGGACTAGTTTTTTTTTTTTGAAATTTACAGTAATGGACTAGTTCATATAGTTAATCCTTTGATTCGAAGTATTTTAAGAGCAAAGTCCGTATTTAATTGTTTGGTTGGTAGAATGACGCCTCAATCCGCACCATTCTGTCGAATAGGACCAAGGCACACGTGATGCGACGTGCATCATGGTACAAAGTTGGCAAAAGCGCCTGGTAGCGGAGAGTGGGAAAGAGCTGGCTGGCGTAGTAGACTAGCAGGAGTCCACATCGTCCCATCAACGCTGCGACGCCACCATTTAATTCCACACCCAAAACAAGTCCACCGTTTAAAGAAAGGCGTAAACTATCGCATTTCGACAGCAAAAAAATCCCCGTAATCTAAAACCAAAATCACGCGCAAAATATTTTTCTTCCCCGTCTCCTTCCTCCTCGGGCACCTCTTCTCCTCGCTTACTCCTCAGTCCCCCACCCACCACCCCAGTTGCTCCCCCCGCTGGCGAGATGCGGGGCGGAGCGGGAGCCCTTCCGGTGCCAGGCGGCCTCGCGCTCGGGGTGGTGCTGCTTCTAGTTCTCGCCGTGCTGCCGTCCCGGGCGGCCGGGGTGAACGTGACGGCCGCGCTCGCGGCTTTCCCCAGCTTCGCCGACTTCGCGCGGCTTCTGGAGTCGAGCCCGGTGGCCGGGGAGCTGGCGGCGCGGTCGTCGCTGACGCTGCTGGCCGTGCCGAACAACAACCTGCCGCGCTCGCCCTCGGCGTTCGCGGCGGCCTCCGGCGCCGACATCGCCGATGTGCTGCGGTACCACGTCCTGCTTGAGTACCTCTCCCCTTCTGACCTCGCGCGCCTCCCCGCCTCCGGGAAGCTCGTGACGACGCTGTTCCAGACCACCGGGCGCGCGCCCTCCGATCTCGGCGCCGTCAACCTCACCGTCGGGGGAAACTCCACCGTCGTGGTCCGGTCGCCGGCGCCTTTCCCGGGGTCGAGCGCCACTGTCCTCGGCGCCGTCACCGCTGTGCCTTACAACCTCAGCGTGCTCGCGGTGGGTGGCCTCATCGTCCCCTCCGGGCTCGACGTCGCGGCCTCCGACAGCCGCCCGGCCGGTGGCGTCAACATCACCCACGTCCTCGCGGACGCGCGGGGGTTCAACGTTGCTGCCTCCATGCTGGAGGCATCGGGCGTCGCGGACGAGTTCACGGCAGACGAGCGCGGCGCCGGCATCACCGTCTTCGTGCCCACCGACGACGCCTTCGCCGACCTCCCCGCCACCGACCGCCTCCAGTCCCTCCCCGCAGATCGCAAGGCCACCGTGCTTCGCTTCCACGTGCTGCACTCGTACTATCCGCTCGGCTCCCTCGAGTCCATCGTGAACCCCGTGCAGCCCACGCTCGCCACCGAGCGCTTCGAGGCCGGCCAGTTCACGCTAAACATCACACGCGTCAATGGCTCCGTCGCCATCGACACCGGCATCGTGCAGGCTTCGATCACCCGCACGGTGTTCGACCAAAATCCCGTTGCGGTGTTTGCCGTCTCGAAGGTTCTACTGCCCAAGGAAATGTTCGGTCGGGGCGGTGCTGATAGCGACGTCATGGCGCCGCCGCCGGACGCGATGGCGCCAGATGCTGCCGAGAACGTGCGGACGCCGCCGACGAGACTGTCGTCACCTCCAGCACTGCGGGGTGGCGCTGATAGTGAGTCGTCATCAGCATTGTCAACGGCAAGGGCTGTCAATTGGTGGTGTATACGGTTGGTGCTCCTAAATCTGCATCTCTTACTACTACCTCTGGTATGAGATCCGGATGTTACCCATTGCTCGCTTCATTTTGCTCAATTTTTGTTCTTCTGTTACTATTTTCCCCATTTTAGAATGTGTACTACGGGAATGTGATGGGTAGAGAATTTTATAGGGGCAAAAGCAGTAGCAATTTGTCTAGTTTCTTTATTAGTTTTAACGAAATAATATCATGTGTAGAGAGACCTATGAAACCTACTTGTTCCAAAACGAACAGCAGCATGTTCATAGTTGTTCTAATCAGGTCAGTTTGTGTTTGAACTGAAGTCCAATTGGGGCTAGCATTACTGGGGAATTGGTGTGAGGAACTGAGGATTACTGGGGAATCGATTTGTGTGTCTTTTGTATTAAGGTAAGGTGCAGAAGAATTTGAAGACATGCATTTGCCTGGTATTTTGTTTATCAAGGACCTGAAGTCTTGGAGTCAGGGTTCTGGAGATTGATAGATAGGTGGTAAGCGTGAGGAATGAGCTGGCCAGCTTGGAGGTGGCCTGGTTGTCTACCCCTGTTTTTGATTCTCACTCCTCTTTCCTGCTAATGACGCGGACTCTAGTTGCGCTTGCTGTTACTATTCCCTGAAGACAAATTGAACACATGTCCACCCTTTAGCTGATTGGTCAGGATTTTCCACCGTTAAATTTCTGTTGAGGACATAAACCAACCATTTAGGGTGGCATATGCTCAATTATCCCTTTTTTTATCTAACCATATAGGGTGGCCTACCACGTACTCCTTGCTGATCATTTGGCTAGTTTCGTAGCGTGTGAACTGAAATCTGATAAGTTGGTTTGCAGTTAAATTAAATAGCTTATGCCCCAGCTCCAAAAGCTTCCTATATGAACTTTAGCAGCCCTAAGATCTGAAGAGAAGAAGTTTAGCAGCATTGTATACCAGGTTGCGAATTTACTGATAGGTAGGTGTTCTGATTCTTGTGACTACCTATCAGGTATTGCTCATTTCATGCAAGTTAGGTAGTTGTATATTGTTGTGTTTGGTAGAGATTTGAGGGAATTTAAACCATCCCAATAAAGAGTTTGAAATTCTAGGTGCTATTGTCATGCATTGCTAGTCTAACGTCTAAACATATCCAAATAGTCTGTCAGTTATCCAAACATGTCGACCAAAAACATGAGTTGTTGTAACTTGTATATGCCTCTGGTAGCTACCGTTTATATGTGCGGCTATTCCTAACATTCTGTGGTGTTTCATGTTCATAATGGCTGGTGGGTTTTTGGGGAGGGACCACTGTGCATGAAACTTTTGTATGTAGTTTCACTAGAGTCCATGAAAGTGGACCTATTGAGGTTGCCCATCTTTATTCGATTAGTTTCTGGACCCGTTTGGTCATGTGCCAGCTCATGCGTACTTTACATGAGCCATGGGACCCATCAAGTTCTTTTCTGAATAATATCCATGAGATGAGCCATGGTTGAAATGTCAAACTTTCTAAATAATGACGTGCACATTTTCTGCTTTCTTTGTAAACTAGCGTCTTGGAAATTCAGCATTAATACTGGATGCGATGTGTTTGTCATAGACTTGTAACTATTCATTAAACTTGTAACTACTTCAGTAAAAGTGTATCCTCTGTACCACTGAAGAGTGAAGAAATGAATGCAGAATAGAAAACCCTGCCTATCTGAAATATACTGTTCAGATTGCGGAGAATATTTATACTAAAAAAAGTTCAATATTTATCATATGTCTCGAGTGTCTTCATGTCATGAAAACAAATGAGGTGATATTTATGAAAGATCAAAGTAATGAGTCGTTTGGAACACCTAGGTTCTTGGGCAAGATAAGATTTAGCAATAATGCATATAGGTATGTTGGATTAGTGGCAAATTACTGGTTTAGTTTATTGTTGCGGACTTGTCCATCTATAGCCTACAGTGAAATCAAGAGGCATTTGTATCTATGTTTTCAATTTCACATTCTGAAGTCTTGTCAGAAAAATACCGGCATATGCTGTAGAAAACAGTGTAACACCAATATCTTGTTCTTTGTTGTGCGCTGCAGCATGCACTTGTCACCTATTGTGCTACAGTTTTTTTTTTTTTGGGGGGGGGGGGATGGGTACAGTCTTGAGACTGAATTTCAGCAATAATGAATAAATGGAAGGTGCCCATCTATTTTAATATTTTTTACCTTTTGATTTTTGTTCTCATGCTCCTTGTCTGAAGCTTCATCTTTTCTGTAAGATCATTTAACCTATCTCTGTAACTTAAATCCTAGAGTAGGAATATGCAATGTTCTTTTCTGTAAGTTCTTGTAACCTATTCCTGCAAATGAGCTTAATGGAGTTCTGAACTTCTTATACATACTCCATCAAAGGATTGTGCATCTAAAATTCCTGATTACCTGTACTTTTATCAACAAAAAGAAAAAAAAAGGAAGAAGATATGCATAGTTATTATGAGGTTCTTTCAATCTGCAAATTTTGATCAATAATACAAGGGTAGCTGACATAAGTGTTCTTAGTGGATATAGTAGCCTCCTCCCCCTCTCTTTTTACATGCCCTAAATGTCGAAATGAAGATCAGGTGACTGTAGTGTAACATGCTATCTAGCCATTAATTCCAATCTTCTTAGGTCAAGAATGTGCTGATTCAGTAGTCTAGAACTCTATGTTCATAGAGAAAACTGAAAGTTGCTTCTGTTTTCTTGTTGGATTAGCAGTTACAGTTTTTGTGAGATTTGTTGTACTGTGAATTTGATTGACTTGAAAAGATGTGAAAGTAGATGTCTTAGACATGCCACATGTTAAAATTCTTAGGTAAAGCAAAAGCATGGAGCAACTTCAGATGATCCAAATTGGTAGGACATGTTTGATGTCAGAGGCTCTTCATTGATACAACAGTGGAATTTAGTTCGTGGTCACATGGTTGCAGGCATATTATTGTACTGTCTATTTTTGTATGATGGTTACAAAGTGAAAATGTACAAGTAGAATGGCCTTGCCATGCTGCAGCAAGATCTGTACATGAGGTGACCTGCTTCCGGTGATCTTTATATTAGGGGTTATTTTTTGTGGGAGGGTTCAAAGAACTGATATTTCTGCTTGATTTATTTTTTCCTATTTCTTTCTTAGCCCTTGTTAATGATATAAATGGGACCAGCCGAGGAAAATCCATTTACTGGAGTAGCTGTTTCGGAAGGAAGTAGAAGTTTGCCTGGTTCCTTCAATAGGTGAGTTACCAATGAATCCTTGTGGCACGTTCATTTCATTTCTTTTAAACAATTGTGTGGATATTGAACACTTGTGAGGATTGACGATATTAACCAATAGGGTCGGTGTTTTACATAGCCGGTTTTCACAGCACTATTGTGATGTCGGAGGTAAAATGCTAAGCTCCAGTACGTTCCATCGCGTGCTATTGTGGCGCTGTAGAGTTTTGGTGACCATGACATGAAAAGTCTGTTATTGAACCTTAGGTTTGAATTCTGTACTTGTGAGGGAAATCTAGTACTCCCATGGTAGGATCTTGTACAGAACATCGCATAATTCAGGCATACACTCTCTACGCCATTTTCCAGTAATTAGGGCTCTTTGATTCAAAGGATCGGTAATCAAAGGATCAGTATAGGATTTTGATTTTTGTAGGATTCACAATCCTATGGATTATTTCCTATGGATGCCTCTGATTCATAGGAAATGAAAGGAAACATTCAAGGATTACATACCTTTAGTTCATTTTCACAGGAAAAAAAAGAAAAAGGTCTGACCTCTTTGGAAGAGAAATCATGTGTTTTTTCCTATAGCACTATCAAAGGGCACATTTCATCTTTTCCTGTGTTTTTTATTCCAACGGGATTGAAGAATCATATTACTTCAATTCCTACGTTTTTACTATTATTATATTTTTCCTATCCTGCCGGTCGAAGGGCCCCTGTGGGGTAGGATAAGATATGATAACAGATTAAACAGTGCATGATAGCAGAGTCAAAAAGGGATGTACAGTAGTTGGGAATGATGCACGCACTGGAGGAATCTATTCATGTCATCTTGCTACGCGTTACCTATAGACCGCAGCTGCCTTCTGCCGCGAGCTTTTGTGCCCTCCTTTCTATTTGCAAGTAGCTGGAGTACTCCCTCCGTCTCATAAAAAACCAACCTAGTATCAGATGTGATATATTTTAGTACTATGAATCTGGATATACATCTGTCCAGATTCATCGTACTAGAATATGTCACATGTAATACTAGATTCGTTTTTTTATGGGACATAGGAAGTAATAACTAGAGTGCTCTGTAGTGTTTTTTTTTCCAGATAGAGTGCTAGTATGTAGCGTTGAATACACTGATAATTGTTGGAATATTTGATGGTATGGTAAAGTCAACTAGTCAAGTGGTAATGACGAACAGTTTACATGTAAAAGTGACAGAGAAAAGGTAAGCTGTAGATATGTGTTTAGTGAAGAGTTTAAGTATTTGCATGATGTTACTAGGTTAGAATAAAATTAAGAGTGGGACTTGGGCCAAAGAAAATGCAATGGAACACGAACGCCGAACTGTCCGGCACGAACCAGAGTTTTCTGATACTCGTATGTCACAGATTAATCAGCAAGCTTAGGGGTGAGTTTAACTCACGCTAAAATTGTGTAGGATCGAAACAAAGTAACTAAGCCAACCAGAGGGGGTGAATGGTTGGTATACCCAAAAACCCAAACTTTTAGCGGAAATAAAAGTTACCCTTAAATTCGATGTAGATCGGTCTAACCGAAGTTGATCCGCCGGTCTGACCGCGCTCGCGCTGTCGGTCTGACCGATGTTGATCACTCGGTTCAACCGCCTGAAGATTGCCTGCCGCGTGTGAAGTCGCCGCCGGTCTGACCGCCTCGCCCTAGCCGGTCTGACCGCCGCCTTGCCGCCGGTGAGTCGCCGGTTAGACTGCCAAAACCCGGTGAAACACAAATCGAAGCACAACTTTATTGCTTCTCTCTGTGTTTACAAAGTATACCAACAGCACTCCTTAAAAAAATTTCGACTAAACTCGAAACCCTAACTAAACTAGCAACTCAATTGCTCTCAAAAGCGATACCGGGAAGCCTCACGCTCCCCCTCTATTTATACATGAGGTAGGCAGCCTAAAGCCACGAACCAAACTCATACTAAGAGTCCTAAACACCTTAGGAAACCCTCTAGTATAAGAAAGAAACTTTACATAACCAATCGTACCAAATTTGGACTCCTTCCAAATTCGACTCCGCATCCCATACGCACATAATACCTCCATTGTATGCCATATGGAATCTTCACCAATCATGTGCATCAACTCTAGCCTTAGTATCCCGCATGATATCTGACCACCACGGACATCGTCTTACCACCAAGCCGACTCCCGGTCCATCACCGCAAATACTCTCTCGAGGCATCGAGTCACCTACACATGAAACAAACAAAGAAACCATATTTCGAGACCAAGCTATCCCCAACTTGACTCATTAGTAGCAAACAACAGTATTACATACGTATAATATCCATCTAGAAGCCATAACTATGAAACAATCACGGATATCCAAAGAAACAACTCGAAACCGAAACCGACACAGCGTCGGCCGGTCAGACCGCGGGCCGGCCGGTCTAACCGCTCGATCACCACCGGTCTGACCGGCATACACCGCCCGGTCGGACCGGTCACATGAAATAACAGTGAATCCGATCATCACCTGAAAATTGATTATCTCCAAAACCACTTCGACGATAATCTCCAAATATCAAAACCAATAATCACATATGCCAATTGTTTATCACAGAATAAGAATCAAAACACACATTGATTTTACAAATTGAAAGTTTGGTTAAAAATGAAACGATGTGACGGAAAAGTTGGAAGTTTGTGTGAGTAGAAAAGTTTTGATGTGATGAAAAAGTTAGAAGTTTGAAGAAAAAGTTGGGAACTTAGGCTGTGTTTAGTTCCTTCCAAAGTTAGAAGTTTGGGTTGAAATTGGTACGATGTGACTGAAAATTTGTGTGTGTATGACAGGTTGATGTGATATAAAAAGTTGGAAGTTTGAATCCAAAGTTAGGATCTAAACACAGCCTAAGGACACCAAACTTCCCTCCAAATCCCAACTTTCCATTACATCACATCACATCCAAAACTTTCCTACGCACATATAACTCCTAACTTTTTTTTTCCAAACTATCAACTTCTTCCCAAACTTTTCCCAAACACGACCTAAACCAGGCCTAGGTCTGATTCTGATCAGTTCAGCATATCACATTCTGGACTCTGGAGTATAGCAGAGAGAATTTCACTGCATCGGTTCATCCATTCGCATGTCTTTTCACGATCCTTGTACCTGTCCGGATTCATGTCAGGTGTATTTGCCTGCAATTGCCAGCTTGAAGCTTCCAACTTCTCAAAATTTCCTTTCTTCGTGTGTTTATGAGCTCAGGGAATCAGGCATTTTTAGAGTTTCAGAAATCAGAACTGAAATTAAGGACGACGATTACAAAAGGGTCATCACAAAGAGGATGCCAGCAAGCCACTGACTTTACAGGATTTTTTCTCACGCATCACAAACCAACGAACGATGCGATCGACGAAGAACCATCCACCCAAACGATCACTACTGGCTCAGGAGCAGCATCGCCTCCGGCCGCTGCTGCCCGAAGCCGTAGAACGGGTGGTGGTAGTGGTGCGGCTCCTCCGCCGCCGCCTCGGCCTTCGCCTCGGCCATCGACACCACCAGCAGGTTCTCCTTGTCGCCGTCGTCCACGCAGGCCTCCCTCCTCCACCTGCCCTCGTACCGCGAGTTGCTCCGGCCGTAGCACTGGTGCTCCATCGCCCCCGCGCGGAGGGCTGCCGCCGCCGACCCCGACGCATGCGCGCTGCTGAGGTTGAAGCTGCCGAATCCCTTGATCTCGTGCGCTATCTTGCGCGCACGCTCACGCTCATCCTCCAGGAAGGGGCCCCGCTCCAGCAGCCTCAGCACGCGCTCCGACTTGCTCTTCACCGTCATCCCCCAGTTGAAACTGCAACTCGGATTCAAGAAGAAACCATCGGTGATGAGAAAGAAGGGCGAGAGAACATCAGGAGAAGATATGATCGAGTCGGGACGAAGAATTGAAACGGACCCTTTCTCGTCGATGTGCTGGAAGGAGACCATCTGCTCGATGACCTCCCGATCCCTCTGGAACTCCAACGCGACGCTACGGGGGCCGTGCGTCAGGAGGTGCTCGAGGAGGAGGAGGGCCTTGTACGCCTCACGCCACTGCCGCCTGTCGAACCTCGCGAACCTGTAAGATTTCCCGCCCCCGAATCAATCGATCAGCCAACAAACGAGCAGATCACAAACGCAGCGTGCGTGTGGGTGGCTTCGTTAAGAGAGGCAAGCTAGGCACGTCCATCGCTCACCTCTTGTGGAGGATGTCGGAGATCCTGACGTACTCGTCGATCTCGAACGCCTGCCGCGCGATGAGGCTCATCGTCTTCACGTTCGGCGGCGATGCGTCCCCGCTCGTCGCCTCCTCCGTCATCCTGGACCATACCAACAAAAACCTCAGCATCAAGAACACGATGGAACAACGGATCGGTGACATCTATCCGAACAACAAGACGGGGGAAGGATCGATCGAGGAAGGAGCCACTCACAGCTGCGTCGGGGTAACATCGGTGAGCGCGAGCCGCGCGGAGCGGATCTTGTCGGTGAGGTAGGACGAGGCCTGCCGCCTGAGCTCGTGGAAGCTGAAGGGCGAGGACGCGTCCATGGCCGCCGCGTACTGCGCGCAGAATCCCGCACATCCGCCAAGAGGCGACGGATATAGCAAGTGCCCCTGCTTCGTCACCCGCACGCAGCTACTGCCACGCGCATCGACGCGTCCGTCCGCCCGCCTCGCCGGCCAGCAACCACTCCGCACCGGAGCGCGCGGTACGAACAGAGCTCGCTCGCAGGGGGCGCAACCACTCCACAAATCCGCTAGTGATGCATGGGATGGGATGGGAGACAGCGACGGCGAGCGGTGGAATGGCTTGTGTGCTTGGACTGGACGAGCTTATTTGGAGGGGAAAGAAGTGCGCGCCCCGGTCGATCTCTTTGTCATCACCCCTTTGAAGCGTTCAAAAGTGGACGGGACGACGCTACGCTGTGCTAGTGGCCTAGTGCAGCGAGGCGACAAGATTGTCAACTGGTGTTTGGTACTATTAGACGGGTGGGCGAGTTTTGAATTTTGAAACCCGCATCCCGTGGCGCAGCCAGGGCAGCGCAGGCGCTAGTACTAGCTAGAGGGGTGGCCGCCGTGGTGCGTCGCGGCTGAGGTCACGTGGTCCGGCCTACGTACGCGTGGCGTGCGCGCCGTGGCGAGGACGGCCCAGATGGGGGGCAGGTGGTGGCCGTGCTGGAATTCTCTGTGCGACGCACATTCGCGCTGTGCGCCTGTGCCCCGAAGCGTATAGGAGTACACTCCATATCGCACGATCGATCGCCCAGCGACGTCAGGGACAAGCGGTGTGGTGGTGGTAGTGGTAGTGGTAGTGGTAGTGGCAGTAGTAGTCGCTTTCGAGAACGATGACTTTGATTTCTTTTCTCGGTTTTTCTACGGAAGTGTTCTGGAGCCATACTCCTACGACGTTTGGCAGGTGGAGGTTGGAAGGGATTTGACCCGCTTTTGTTAGACTTACTTAAAAAAAAAAAGACTAACCCTAAATTTGTGTGCAACGTTTAACTATCCGTCTTTTACGAAATTTTTTTATAATTAGTATTTTTATTGTTGCTAGATGATTAAAACATGATTAATACTTTATACATGACTTGTCTTTTTAATTTTTTTCATATTTTTTTTAAATAAGACGGACAGTTAAATATTGGACACTAACCCAGGATTTATCTTTTTTTTTTGGAACGGAGGGAGTACAGTGCAAGATTGTTCCTAGCGTCCCAAGGTGAGTCGACGGGCGTCACCGGTGAAAGCGTGGAAGAAGTAGGAGAACCAGAAAAGAAAGGATTTCATCTACATTTTTTAACTTTTTCATTGAGACGATGTCTGTGTTAAAATGTGTCACGGTCCACGGGCTTTTCTACGTGCCACCTTGTCCAGTCGTAAGCTACGTTCGTTCGGACCAGAGAGAGAATAAATTCTCGTCATATATGCTTTTTCTGAGTTGTTAAACAATGTATTTTTGAAAATAATTTTATAGAAAAGTTACTTTAAATTCGTTACAAGTTTTAAAAAATATTACCCAATTGATTACGGGTTAATGGTTCAGTTCATCGCGTGTATCTGTCAGGGTTACGGATAAGGATAACCTCTGTCCTATGACTTATGGAATATATCAATAAGGTATACTCTCACGTATACGTATACGGTTGGTTTCCGTATACGCCGTTAGAAATTCACCTCAAATTATGGGAGATATCTCTACGAGTTAAGGGATTACCGAAGTACTACTCGAAAAGGGTAAAATCTCTAGTATATCATGTCGGTTTACATAATCTCCAAGTCTTACTTGAGAGTCAAGGTATCCCACGATATAAAAGGGACCCCTAGGGAGAGGCTAAGGGCATCGCATCTCATCGCCAACACACCCACCAAAGTTTACGAAGCCGGAGTACACGGAGCCAACTCGCCGGGAGATCTCGTCAAATCCCTCGACTACGATCTTGTCGGTATCACCTGTTCGGTTACTCTCTCTGTAATGGACGTAACTACACAGCTAATGGTAGCTGGTTTGTCTCATATATGATAGACACTATCCACCTATATTTCAAATACAATTTTCTCTAAAACTGCTCATCCGATCTACAATCCGATTACACCGTTGTGTTCGTAACAATTAAATCTTTATAACAAGAACTCACACGATTATATTTTGATGAAAAAAAATATAAATTACTTTTATAATATATCTAAATTACTTTTAGATTTCACTAAGTTACTTCTTAGACATATAAAAGTAATTCAATAAAGCCTAAAAGTAATTTACATATACTATAGAAGTAACTTATAAAAAAAGAAAGTAACTTCTATAATATATGTTAATTACTTTAAAACTTTATTGAATTTACTTTTATATATTTAACTTAGTGAAATCTAAAAGTAATTTAGATATATTATAAAAGTAATTTATGATTTTTTATCAAAATATAATCATGTGAGATCTTGTTGTAAAGATTTAATTGTTATGAACACAACAGTGTAATCGGATCGTAGATCGGATGAATAGTTTAAGAGAAAATTATATTTGAAGCATAAATGGTAGGAATATTTTTTCTACTTGCTTGATCAATTAGTACTATAGTAAAGTAAGATTCTTCAAGACACATATCTGGACAATGGCTAATCGTATCTGGACAATGGCTAGCGTCGCTCGTTATGACTAAATCAAGAGCGCTCTCGATTTAGATTTTGCGCTTTGTAATCTGTTCTCATCATCAGCAATCCCATATAAACTGGACTAGGGCTATTACCTGATAAAGGGCCTGAAACAGTACAATCCTTGTCTTTTGTCTGTTTTAATGTCGTACTACGTAGATCCCTATTCCGACGTAACCCAATACTCTATTCTTCCGATACATGAGTATCACTCGTCGACAGTATCTTCTCTATTTTTTTTCCTCATCCTCTTAATCGCAGCCTTCACTTTCGTCGTGACGAGTCACGTATCGCTACTTGCAAACTGCGTGCTCAGCGTCGACAAGTGATGGAGCAGCCGCCCCAACAGGATGCACGACAGTCAGGTCGAGAGAGCCTCACCATCGACAGCGTGAGCATGACACTGACACCGGGGTGAAAACGGTAACGACCTTATCAATGTCGTTTACTTAACGTCTTTACGAATTACGACCGTACCGATATGTCCATCGGCACGCGGCAACTCCCTCATGGTAGCCTGCCAGAATTTTCACGGGCCATATGCTCACCGTCGAAAAGGAAAAAGTACACCGAAGGTCCCTTAACTTGTCATCGGGATATAAAATCGTCCCCAACCGCAAAACCAGATACCGATGATCTCTTAACTATACAAAACCGGTCACAATAGTGCCTCGGTGATTTTGATCCCGATTTTGTCCTATGTGGCTGCTGACTCAGCGTGGGACCCACGTGGGCCCCACCAGGATGCCACGTCATCTCTCTCCCTTCCTCCTCCTCTTCTCTTCTCTTCTCTTCCTTTCTCTTCGCAAATCGCAAGCCGGCCGGCGGCTGGGGATTGGGGAGGAGGCCGCCGGGGCGAGGCGGGAGAGGAGGAGGGCGGCGCCGCGATGGCGGCCGACGGCAGCGGCCGCAGTGGGGAAGCACGGCGGTAGCCCGGTGAAGCTCTGCGGCGGCCAAAGATGGGTGAGGGGGCTCATGCCAGCGACGGTGGCGCACGCGCACGAGCAAAGTAAGGGTGTGGGCGCGCTCGGCGGCGGCGGCGTCGATGATGGAGGCGCGACTGCCGACGGTCCACTTCGGCGGGCTCGGCGAGCTTACCACCACCAACACCGCAGAGCCAAGCGCCGCTGTCCCTCTCGCTTCACAGGCCGGAGGCGGCGATGTCGCTGCTGATGTAGCAGCACAACCACCACCACCAGCCGTCGCCGGCGGCGGGCGCGGCGTCGACATGGCAGCTGCAGCAAGGCGCGTGGCATCTCCGCGGCTAAAGGTTCCTCCTCCCGACGCAGCAGCTCTTGCAGGAGTTCTGCAGCCTCCCCATGAAGAGCACCACCAGCCCATCGTCGGCAAGCAAGGCACCCAAGCAGGCGCAAGAAGACGCCGTCGGTGGCGGAGGCTCGTCGTCGTGGACCGCGCCGACGCAGATCCAGTCCATGGACGGGGGCGAGCTGCAGCGGCTCAAGGGCAAGATTTACATTTACCCCATGCTCGAAGAGGTTAGCTTGCTCAGCCAGCTAATTAACCACATCACCACCATGGCAAGGCCTAATTTAAGCAAAGCTAGCATGAGAGTGTACTCTCTCCTTGGAAATCTGTAGTCAGTAGCCGAGCCTGGCCACTTCGCCTTGCTCGCCAGTGGCAGCCGCGAGCGCGCCAAACGCGCGGTAGGCGGCGGGGGCGCGGCGAGGCGCACGCCGCGGAGCGCGTGTGTGCGGCGTGTGCGCGCAGGAGGCGAGGATAGCGCGGCTCCCCAGCGACCGCCCTCGCGCCCAGCTCCTCCCCTGCCGCCGCCGCCGGCCGCGCCGTGCCCAGCCTCTCCGTCCCGCGCAAGCGCGCACGCCGGTCGCCCGTGGAAAGGAGAGTGGAAAGGGCAAGAGAGAGAAATATTAAGAGGCTGACATGTGGGGCCCACGTGGGTCCCACGCTGAGACAGCAGTCACGTAGGATAAAACCGGGATAAAAACCGCCGAGAGACATATTGTGACTGGTTTTGTATAGTTAAGGGATGTCGGATATCTGGTTTTACAGTTGGGGGACGATTTTGTATCCCGATGACAAGTTGAGGGACCTTCGGTGTACTTTTTCCCCGTCGAAAACGATCTGGGCCAGACATTAGGCCCGTGACGGAGTAGAGAATTTCGCCGGAAGCCCAACCAACAATGCAGTCAGCCCGGAAAGTGATCCCAATTAACTCTACTGAAGTCCCCCGGTAACTGAAAAACTCGAGGGACCGAGGGAGAACGGAGGATGCGCGGGATGCGCTGCAGGCGTGCAGCGGCGGAGCTAGCGAGCTTTCCGCGGTCTCGGGCGCACATTTGTCCGCATACACCGCCAACGATTCGCACCGTCTTTCAAGGCTTTTCCTCCATTATCTTACTGTAAGCAGCCTCCTCCCGATCTGTGCTTTGGCCACAATGGGCTTGTAAAATGCGCGCACAAGAGCTCACGCAGCAGCAGCAGCACTGACGACATCTCATGAGCTCGTGATGGTGATGCTAACCAAGGCTGAATCTAATCCATGTAGTAGTGTTGGCAATTAGGCACTTTGTTTATCCGCCTGCAACTTTCCAACCCTCGAGGCAAAACAAGCAGGTTTGTCAGATAATTTTACTGACAAATGCTTGGCTTTTTCACGTGTTGCCCGCTTTCGACTCCACCATATAAGCCTTCACGCCTGTCCACTCCTCATCAGTCAGTTACCCCTGCTTTCTAGACTCTGGTAGTGCTCTTGTCCCCCGTGGGATCGGCAAGCTCGGCTCTGAGAGATCATGGCCCATGAGGTGCGCCAATCTTAATTTCGCCTAATTGTAGCTCTAATCTCACATGCTTTTTCTCAGTCTGTTTTAGCGCACCAATTGATCATGGCAAGCTTGTGGTTTGTTTGGGGAGATGGTGCAGGATGGGTGGCCTCTTGGACTGGGCGCCATGAATGCAAGAGCTGGAGTGACGAGAAGCGTGGATCTTTCTGGCTCGGCCTCCTTCAGCACGGCCTTCACTTCGTCTCACTGCGCTTCGTCTTCCTTCACTTCTTGTGATTTCGACACAGAGGTCAGTTCGAACATAATCTGTATCGCAAATTCGCAATGCGGCAATGGAACAGTAGTGCAGGCAGATTACATCTGGATCTGATCGTAACGTACGTTTATATATAAGTATGTTTTTTGTCGCAGTCGGCATGGTCATTGTCCCGCCGTGGAGGCGGCGGCGCCGGCGGCGGGATGACGCTGGCGAGCCTGATCGGCCTGGTGGACGCCATGGAGAGCCGTAGCCGGCGGCGCCGGAGCGCGAGGGCGACGAGCAAGAGCGGCAAGGTCAGGGCGCTGCTGCTGTCGCTCTGCCTCCGGAGCCACCTGGAGAACGGCCGCGCCGCGCCGTCGCTCGGGCAATTCCTCGAGATGGAGAGGAGAGCAAGCAGCAGCTCGTTGTAGCTTATGATCTCATATTCTCATGGGGAACCATGGCTAGAGATGCTCGAGTTTGATCGGTTTCGCGTTGCATTTCGATTCTTCTCATTTTCCAGAGAACCCGGGTCATTGTCGAATCTTTCATGATTCTTCACATTGATCTCTGCTACGTTTGTCTTTGCCGAGTAAAACATTTGCCGATAAAAAAATAGACAAGTTCTTTATCAGTTTTTGTTGATTCGAGCGTACATGGATGGAAGAGCAACGCGTCATCCCAACGAGGAGACGAAAACAGCTTGCGAAGGTTAACCGATCAATTTGCGTTTTTTCCCCTCTTCTTACCACACGCGGTGATTTAAGTGGCATTGAATCGTGTGCGCCATTGAAAGGAATCCTTTCAGCATTGTGTAACCTATACGACGCTGTCAATCCGAAACCGGTTGATGGAAAGCGATTTACTCGGCTGGTTAGTCTCTAATTTGGGACGGGTGTTTATGTTTACAGCTAATTACTTTTTTAGTGAACTAGGATGGTGGCCCGCGCGTATGCGCGGGCATATTTTTGAAAGGTAAGATTATTGTTTGTTCAGAAATTTTGCCTCATAAATTTAGGGCAAACTAAAGTTTGGATGATGTTATTTTATAATAAATTAAGGGTTCTATTTTTCTTAAGGTATTTTAGAAAACCATTCATAAACTTTTGAATAGGAGATGGATTAAGTACTTATAACTTTTGAATCATGTTTTTTTTCTCGAGTAAATAAAAAAATATTGCTAGTTAATTATCATACAGTCCATCTATATATACATACGTGTAGTATGGCCACAAATGAAAAATATGAGTGCATGATACTCAAAATTCTTTTGATTAAATCGTCTCATAAAGACGCATGATATGGTAATAAAAGGAGGGAAGCATATGCATGGGAAAAAAAGAAGAAAGAGAAAAATAAAAAAGGGAGGGGAGGCGTACGTACCCATGCACGTAGGTGCATACCTATGCTGAGGTGGGACCTCGTAGTATTTAGTTTGTTCTAAGATCAATTTAATCTAACGGTTTATAATATTGGACCTACCGATTTAAGTGAAAATCAAGTAACGGATACTTTATTTTTTTCTTAGAATTTCTAATATTTGCCCTAATTTATTAGAGCACAACGTGGCAGCTTGAGAGCATTTTAAGGAATTTTAAATGACTAATTAGAATATTAACTGCGCAATATATATGTATGGGACGTATGGTAATATTTATTCCAACTTCGTCTATGTTTATATATATGTAGAGAGAAATTAATTTTGTGGCTAGCAAGCCATTAAATGTCTGATTAATAGCAATTAATTTTAACACCTATTTACAATTGTTCAGAGTAACTCTTACATATTCATCTTACAACTTCGATGATTCGTTGATCACCAATTTACTGATCACCATGACTCGCATGAAAAAAATATGTAGTACTTAAGGTTTAGGATAGCTGAAATTGATGAATTATATAATTTATGTGATAGCTATTTGAGGGTATAAACGAATGAATTGACTTCTAAAAAGTTAGAATGTTGTTTAAAGAAGACACCATTTAGAAACTTGGAAAGCGTGCAAAAAAAAATCCAAAATATGGAATCGGGAAAAAAAGAGAGGGCCTTAAGCTCCTATTATCACCCTTGTCGTACTAAGAGTTCTATTGATATTCGTCAATATTGTACTCGCATTTATAACATAATGATTCATTTCACCTGTACAGATAAATAGTACAAAATCCAAATACGACATAACACAAATACATTATAATTATTATGTAATCAACTCTCGGTTTCAACTTAAACAGAGCTAATTAGTGTTGAGAAAAACACAACCCATGGTGCTTAATTATTCTCTCGTTGCATCACCTTTAATTTTCTTTTCATGTTATTAACAAAATTAATCATCTTCATATATGATTTATGATTTGATATGTGGCAAAGCGGTAGTGCTAGAGCGGTTGTGATCACCTTAGATGTCTCAGACACTACGCTTTGTCACACGTGCGAAAGGCCAAGGTGCAGACGTGCGCTGTGCAGCATGCAAAAAGAGAATTTCGGACGCTTTATTTATTAGCAAACAATAGATCCAATGATTATAATAATATGTCCACCAGTTCTAGTGTAAGTGTAAATTAGTTAATATAGAATTTAAATTAGTTAATTAGTTAATAATAGTAGACCTTATTTTGAAACAGTGCATTACCTGAGAATAATAGACCAATGTAAAAAGTAGATCCGATAATTTATATAATAGGGCCATCAGTTTAAGTGCACGTATAAATTTGTTAATATAGATATTGTTTATTTGATAGGTACACGATATAATTGTGTAAAATTTATTTTAAAATAGTGCATTATTTGAAAATAATAGTACAAAGTAAAGAGTACACCGGTTTAAATTATATGATGGTAGATTCTTTGTTTGTAAAATTATTATTATTTAAAAAATATATCCATTATATATATAAATTGAAAAAAGAAGAAAAAAAGGAAAAAAAAGGGGAGGAATCGTATGTACAGTACGCACGTATATAATCCACCTGCCAATGTGCGGGAGGAGGATAGGTGGGACCCATAGTATTTAGTTTGTTTTAAGATCAATTTTATCTAACGGTGTGTAATATTGGACCCCGCCAATTTAATTTAAAATCAAGGGATAGATGTTTTGCTTTTTTCTTAGAATTTCTAGGATTTTCTCTATTTTATTAGAGCGCCACGTGGTGGCTTGAGAACGTCTGTAGGAAGTTTTATGGACTTTTAGTATATAATAGATAGATAGATAATAGATAGATAGATAGATAGATAGATGACGACGTTTATGGTGACTTTCGTTCGCCTCAAAATATACACCAATTTTTAAACGTATCCATAGAGGATAAGGTGTTCGGATTCGCCTTTACAAAGGCTAAAGGGTGAATGTACCTATGTATAAGGGCTTGCATCTCTAAAAAGAAAAAAACGCTCTTCTTTGACATACAGGGCATGTGCCACTTTACCGCTACTTTCAACATAACCAAATTTTAGTGTTACCAAATTTTAATTGGGAAAAAAACTAAACACTACCTTAACAACACCATCCTACCAACATTTGGTAGTTCCGAAGATTCCCTCATAAAAATGCTACTAAATTTTGGAAAAACATCAAACTAAACCAACGCTATCAAAATTTGGTACAAAAGCCTATAGCGATTGGTGAAGGTTATAGGAAAAAGAATATTTCGACAAAAAACAAGGGGAGTACTAATCTTCTTTGCTGCTACATGATGGCATTAAGTGAAAAGCGAGCAGACGAAAGATTTCATGTACAAGAATTTTACATTTCAAGGCTTACAGCCTCTCGAGATAACAACGAAACGCGAGCTAAAAAGCGAAATGGATAAGTGAAGCAAGCCCATAGTCATTGCCCAGGAAGGCAAACTAGGCCGGCCCATTAATTCCTCCTACGAATCGATCTGGGCTGTGACCCTAGTACCCGACGTGTATATAACAACATCCTCTCCATCGCTTAGGGTTTCTCCTCGGACGCAGCCGGCGGCTTAGGGTTTTGTAGCTGTCGCCGATCCAAGGTACGCAGCCTCCGAGCGCCGCCTCTCTCTCACACACACGAGCGCTTCCTTACTCGAGATCTCTCGCGCCCCTCTCCGCTTCGATTCTCTGTTTGTTGATCGATTTTGGTTTGTTCCGTCGCCTTCGCCGCAGGTCCGAGGAGCGAGGAGGAGATCCGCCATGGCGCCGCCGCAGCCCAAGTCGGGGCTCTTCGTCGGCATCAACAAGGGCCACGTCGTCACCAAGCGCGAGCTGCCACCTCGCCCGTCCGACCGCAAGGGGGTAATTTGTTTCCTCCCTTCTCTATCCTTGCTCATCTCGTATCGTAGCAACATGGGCATGTCATCTGTTTGATTAGATCTATATGGTACAGTTACTGTATTTGCTAGCTAATTTCGTTTCGTCGTACTAGACATCGGAGCAGCGACTGCTGTTTTTTTGTTAAATTATATATTATGTCGGCATAAAATTATATGGTTGTCTAAATTACCATTGGACATGAGTAAGTGCGTGGTGGCTTGTGCTTGCTTAATCACCTTCCTGGCAATTTGATTATAATGGACTAAGAATGGTGTGTTTAATTTATTAATTTATTTGCCTGAAATGGTGGCGTGTTAATGGCAAGTATCAGCAATGGGTTATCGTTTTCTGTACATCAAAATTGCATTTGAATGGCTTAGATGTGTATGCACACTGATGTCTTTGTGCCTCGTCTCACCTTTGGCAATTTGGAGAAAACACAACTCCAAAATTGCTAGTCCTGGAGGCATATATTTATTTGGTGAGTCTAACGTGGAAGCTTAATCACCTCATGATTTTGTTTCTAAAATATCTCACTAAATTTACCTCTGTTTTGTCTTGTTCTAAATATTTTAATGTTTTTTGTTTTTTATTATCCAGTAATGTAGATTCGGTTTCTGTGCAATGTAAACAAAAATTGAATGTTTTTTGCTTGTGCAGTTGTGTGGATCTTTGGTTTACCTTTCTGAGCAAAGCTATAAAAGCAAATAAAAATGATGTTCTGTTAAAATCTATTTTTTAACTTCCACAGCTTCAATATTTTGAAATGACAAATGAACGATGAAGTGATGCTTTGTCACCTCATGTCAAATAGAAAATTCTGAATTACCATTAGTTGATCTTGTGATCTCTTGAGCCTATGACGTGAAAAAAAAATTCACTTTACTGAGGAGAACTACAATCTCCACCATAGCTGCTTCTCGAGTCTATGACCAGAGATTTCTTTTGCTGTCTTCCTGATGAATACGGCCATACACCATAGCTGCTTCCTATTTATATTCTTTCATTAATATGTTTTCTTGTCTTATTGCAGAAAAGTACCAAGAGAGTGAATTTTGTCAGGGGCTTGATTAGGGAGGTTGTGGGATTTGCTCCATATGAGAAACGAATCACTGAGCTTCTGAAGGTTGGAAAGGACAAGCGTGCACTGAAGGTCGCTAAGAGAAAGCTCGGTACCCACAAGAGAGCAAAGAAGAAGAGAGAGGAGATGGCGGGTGTCATCAGGAAGATGAGGTGTGTGTCTTTACTACTGCATTCTGCAATTTCATTGTTGATGTTCTCTGTTTTTTAGTTGCTATTTTTTTTCCGTGCGTATTGTAGAATGGGTTCTACTCCCTCTGGTTTCATAATTTTTGACTTTTTGAACAATGACACGGTATTCAAAATATATCTTTGACCTTGTTTTTCTATTATAATATACAAAATAAATAAATGCATGTTTACTTTTATTATAGAACTTTGAAAGATGAATCCATATATGCTATTCTAATTCTTTTAAACTAAATACTTTTAAAGTTGATAGTTAAAGTTATAAAAGTTTGACTACACTCTGTCCAAAACGTCAAGAATTATGGAACCGGAGGGAGTAGCACTTTATCGGTAACATTGTTGTGAGATTTATTTGTGTAAGTACTCCCAAGTATATAAGAGGCATTCTGCAAATATTGGACTTGTCTCTAAATTAACTTGGTCCTTTTTCTGTAGCTATGTAGGGGTGCAAGTGGACAATACCACTATTTGCATAAATACCTTCTTGCTAGTTCATTTCCCACATGGTAGCACAAATTTTGGAAGAAAAAGTGAACTATAAGTGGGATAACCGGGAAAAATAAAATAATCCCGCTTGTCCGCCCAACTTGTGTCCCTATACTTCTGTTCTGTTATTTATTATAGCTTTATAATTCAAAGCAGTACAAATGATTTTCTCCGTTGTTTTGGTACCTCAGTTGTATGTAAGTTTTGTTTCATTTTTCATTTTCTGGCCAATTCTTACCTTTGACAAAGAGAATTTGCAAACTAAATCCCTTCTCTTGTTGTGCAGGTCTGCTGGTACTACTGACAAGAAGAAATAGAAGTTTCAAGTTGAAGATCTTTTTGCAATCCTTATTGTAATTCATTTATATGGACCTATAGTAAGCTCTAGATCGAGGTGCTGTATTGCCGTTGAGAACATTGCAATGCTATTGAGGAGCATTGAAATTTTGGCACATGTTTCGATACATCGGTTTTGTCACAATTTCTCAGGGTTCTATTGCCCTTGATTCTGTGGAGTTTTGTCCTTGAAACTGTTCTTGCCTATTGTGTCCTGACGTGATCGTAACGGTCTATTGGGCTGTAAGATTGGGAGCTATTTGGTTTCCAATGGCGAAATGGCCCAACGATTAACCAAAAATTTGTGGATGCTAATCCTCTGAAACACAGGATTATCCAAAATGAGATTAGGAAAATGTAAGAAATATGGTGTCATGTGCATTAGATTTGGATTATCCAAAATGGGATTGGGAAAATGCAAGAATATGGTGTCAATGTGTCATGTGCATTGGTTTACGTTGGAACCCTGGAAGATTTTAAAACAGACGTTCGCGAGGTGTGGTCTCATGCTTTTTTTTTTCTTTAAGGGTCTTGAAGGGAATATAATCGGACGACGATACTTTTTGTAGAAAATACTAAGAACAAATTTCTATATGGCCATTCAGAACACATGAACTGGCTTCCATAAATCCTACAGATATTTTAGGAATATCCAAAATAATGCTCTTGCCAAAATATCGGGCGCTGATGTTTACAAACATATTATTCTCTCTCTCATCTCATCGAGTGGTTGATGCACAATAAGCTTTGTATATTCATTGGTCCCACAAATCCTACCACCCACTTTGGTAATTGGAGGACTATAAAACTATAGAATTTATTAACTTATTTAAGGAATAGAAAAAAGCCTCCACGTTCGCTCTATGGTCTGAAAATTCTCATATTAATAAAAAAAAGTCTATATATAAATGCAATTCAAAAATATATGAAATTTGAAATTAAAAATAATGAATATAGAAAAGGAAGACTGAAGTTTATACGGGTATACAATATAACTAATGGAAATTTGGAATTAAAAAAATAAGAAAAATTAAAAGTAGAGGTTAGAGTCCATATAAAAATACAATTTAGAAATAATGAAAATTTGAAATTAAAAAATAATAAATATTGGAAGAAGAATATAGAGTCCATATAGAAATACAATTTAAAAATAATTGAAATTCGGAATTACTCCCCCCATCCATAAAAGTTAGACATATTTTACATTTGAGTTTTTCCAAATAAGTTTTGTAGTCTTTTTGCATTCAATACTTAATGAGGAGCGAAAATGCCTGTAGCCTATAGTAGTTACAAGAGTCTCAGTAGCATCTGAGGTCCTGGGTTCGACTCTCCATGGAAGCGAATTTTCTACGATTTAACAGTGTTGTGCTTTAAGTGGTAGCGAGGCGCCTGTGATGATTTCGTCAATCTTAAGGATTTGCCGGCCTAGTCTTCGAGGATGCTCATAGGGGTAGGGTTTGCGTGCGTGCGTTCATAGGTGTGAATGAGCGTGCGTTTGACTTCATCAATCTCAAGGATTTGCCGGCTTAGTCTTCGAAGATGCTCATAGGGGTAGGGTTTGCGTGCGTGCCTTCATAAGGCTGTGTGCGCGTGCGTTGTGAGTGTATGCGTTGTACTGTGTAATTATAAAAAAAAAGACTTAAATGAGGAGATAAATTAAATGTTTGATTACAATCCAAGGAGTCATCTACATACTCATTGGTTGCATGCTTGCATTCACTCCTTAATTTTGTAACATTCAAGATGATTGAGGAGATAAATTAAATGTTTGATTACTCCCTCTGGTTTTATTTTGATTGACGCTTTGGATAATGATACGCTCTACAAGATATATCTTTGACCTTATTTCTCTATTATAATATATAAAATAAATAAATGCATGTTTACTTTTATTATAGTGTTTTGAAAGACAAATCTATATATGTTTTTCTAGTTTCTTTAAACTTAATATTTTTAAAGTTATAGATGGTCAAAGTTATAAAAGTTTAACCTCAACCTTGTCCAAAACGTCAATTAATATAGAACCAGAGGGAGTACAATCCAAGGAGTCATCTAAATACTCATTAGTTGCATGCTTGCATTCACTCATTGATTTTGTAACATTCAAGATGATTCAATTTTTCCTTGGTCTTGGCGACAAAAGTAATAGGTGTAACTTTTGTGGATGGAAGGAGTATAAAAAAAGAAATATTGAAAGGTAAGTTTATAGCCTATTTAGACTTAATAGAAATTAGGAATTAAAATAATGAATATTAGAATAAGAGTATATAGTCCATATAGGAATCTAGAATTAATTAAAATTCAAAATAAAAACAATAAAATTAAAAGTTGAGTTTAGAGTAAATATAGAAATACAATTTACAAATAACTAAAATTAGAAATTATGAAAATTATTGGAACAATAGTCTAGAGTCCATAAAAATACAATTTAGAAGTAACTGTAATTCATAAATTAAAAATAAATAATATCGAATGATGAGTTTAGAGTGCATATAGAAATACAATTAGAAATAATGAAAATTCACAAATTAAAAAAAATAAGCAATATTAAAAGAAGTGTCTAGAGTTCATATAGGAGTATAATTTAGAAATAACTGAAGTTTTGAATTTAAAATAAGAAATATAGGAGTAAAACTTATAAATAATGAAAATTCATAATTAAAAAATAAAGAACATTGGAAGTGGAGTATAGAGTTTGTATAGAAATATAATTTAGAAATAACTAAAATTTGATAGCCCCCTAAACCCTATCCTGAACTTTCCATACCGGACAAATTAACCCCCTAGACCAAATTAAGATTGGTTTTGTCCAACGTGGCGCACGCGTGGCAATCCAGTCATCATACTCCACTTCCCCTCTTCCTCTCTCTCGCACATGCTGCGTGCATGGCGAGGACGGGCGGTGGGCGTGGGTGGACAGCACAGAATGCGGCGCGCACGACGACATGCAGGCATTCGGAGGGTGTCTGTTGACAGAAAACACGAGGCCTGGGAGATCTGCTTAACTCCAGTGCAGGTCCAAAGCTCGCCTTCGGGTGTGCTAGCGTGCCAGTTGATTTGATCCTGTAACCAACAAGAAGTAGAAGCAAAGAAATCGCGGTTAAATCTATAAATGATAGCCGATCGGCTAGGTGCCGATGACATATCATTTATCTTTGAGCCGATGTCATATATACATCAATCGGCAACCATTAATAAATAAGAAGGGACTAAATATACTCGATCGGCTGCATATATTACCAATATATAATCTTTATATCGATATATACTTAAATCAAGTGATTGGGATAGATCGGTCGCCATGCCGAGACAGTATAAATCACTTAGATCGAAATATATATTAATAATGAAACTATATACGTTTATAGCATATACGTTCTTTGCGGCAGACTTTTGCCCTAAGCATATCTCTAAGGAAATTACGTAAAACATCCTAATTAATAGATACAATTGCCTTCTCAGAACTCTATCCATGTGCGGCAATCATCTTGAAGCATATCGACTCAACCCGATGTTGTACACCAAGTCGTATTGCCGGAATTGGTTGTATCACGTAACCCAGTCTGATTCAGATTTAGCCGATTCTAGTCGTAGCTGATCTGGACTCCAGCCGATTCTTACTCTGTTCCCGCAACAATCCTTATCTCCAACTCCGCTTCGATCCCATCTTCACCTCCGACGCTGATATTACCAAATTCGGTTGTTAACACATGCCCCCCAAGTCCGGGATATTTGGTAATGTTCCGGATTTGCCGTGTACTGACTTCGAGCAAGTTTCGCACTTTGCTGTTTTCCGACCGTTATTGCCGTGCTTGAAATACTAACCGTCACCCTCGAGAAATCTCACACCGTGACTTCTGTTTTCACCGCTCAAGCGAAACTTTATCCTCTCTCTCTCTCCGGCGATTCCTCCGACGCAAAAGCGACTCCCGGGTGACTTCATCTCCAGCGAGACCTCCGCCTGCAGCGATGTCGTCTTCCACCAATCCATCTGATGTGCCATCGGCCGAGTATGCTGAGGTAAGTCTCCACTGGCTAGATCCCCTTTCTTAGCAGCAGATCGATTTTCTCCTATCTTATATCGCTCTCTTTCTCTCGGTTGTCTTGGATTTGTAGCATCTCTCTAACTGAATCGCGATTCCAAGCTTATCACACGAAAACTACTACTTTCTCGGCCCAGTCGGCAATCCTGATCCCACTGAGTTTATCATTGGTGAAACCAATAGGATTCCCTTCAGACTAACCAACCCAGATCTAGGTCATTGGAATAACACCTTTAAATCTTGGCCATCTCTAGAGAAAGTTCCACCCGAGAAAAGTTGGACCACATGGTTCAAACGTGTGTCAGCAAGCAAAAGGGTTCACTGGGACGAAATTGGAATCGGCCAAGCACTTGACCTCACTATAGCAAACTCGGCCAAAGATGAACCCCTGATGGCAGCTGCTTCTTACTTCTGGTCAAACACCATCAATGCCTTTTCGTTTAATCAAGGGCCGATGATCCCAACTCTCATAGATATCAGCATGATCACGGGTCTGGATGTCACCTCATCGGCCAACCCTATGAGTTTGAATACAAAGAACCAATATGACTTCAAGACCAAGAGCATAGGCGGCTGGTCAGGCTATGTAGCAGCATATATAGGCCAGGGTCCAGTTACCCCTCGAGAACATGTGGCTTTCCTATTAATGTGGTTAGAAAAGTTTCTCTTTTGTGGGTCTAGCTGCGGTCCTACAACCAATTGGCAGTTCGTAGCCGAAGCCTTGGAGACAAAAAGACAATTTCCTTTAGGCAAAATCCTCCTCGGCTACTTGTACCAAATGCTAAATAATGCATCGGCTAAGCTAATTGTCGGCTCAGTAGTCGGAGCGGGTGGACCATGGTGGCTGCTGCAATCCTGGCTAAACTTGGTAGTCATGAGGTTCGTCGATCGGCCATCTGTAACAGAAACTGAATTCCCAAGATTAGAGCCGACTGTTAACGATGACGGAGAGGAACTCACTCATCGGAGATGCACATCATATGGAGAGTACGCCTCTACCCCAACTGATGCAGGAGCAAAGCTATCGGCCGAGCTGCTCAAAGATTGGTTTTGTAGCTTTTATGAGGGGTTCCAAAAGGATGCTCGAGTTTGGTTTCTCTATGGAGACTCAACACTTCTAGAAAATCCATGGGACTTCAAATTCGAAGACA